GAGTTTTTTTCCGTTTTGTTCATGGGAGAGGGCTACTGTTCCTAAAAGACAGTTCTGAAATGTCAGGAACAGTTAAGATTTAATTAAACTACATTGTCCTTGTCCCTAGAAGCCAGATTGTTACTTGCCAGACTTTCTGCCATTCTTTCTCATATGAAAGAGGGTGTAGACTGACTAGTTTAGAATCAGGGTATTAGGAGATTTGATGTCTATGTTACCACACCCCAGTCTCCTAGGTGTGATTTTGACTTATATAAAAGCTGACAAAATAAATTAAATATTTGTGTATACAGGATAGCTTGGCTTGAATCTTGGGAAGAATAACTATAGGAGAGGTGAAAGAGGAAATAACTATGACAACTCCAAATCTTAACATGATATGTCATAGGGTGAGGTTAATGTTTAAATCTTAGATGTGAGAAGTACAATACTTTAAGAGAGGAAACCACTACCATCCTGTCACATAAGGTGTAGTCTGGAGAATTATAGTACCAGTTCATAGGAAACCAATCTACATTCTTTAATGTAATTTAAAAGGATAATTAACCCCACTGATACTATTAACTGTGCTTTTGGGTAAAGTCACTGCTTCACATCTTCACAGCATACATTTCTCTTGCTCTACTTATTTCAGTTTCAATAACAGAAAGTTTGAGTAATTATTCATCTAATTATATATAATTATGTGTAAAGAGGAAAAAATAAAATTCTTTAAGACATCCTGACAAGTTCCAAATAATTCTATGCAGTGATCTAGTTATCAAAGAGCAAATTTAGAAAATATTCTGTAAGTTTAGGATCGGTAAAGACTACTGAATTAGTAAGAGGCCAAATAAATTTCTATTGCTTCATATGCAGCAAGAATTTTATTTTAAGGCATTAATTCACATTATTAGGTCACCAATTGCCCTAAATGAGGTCATTTGTGATCTTAAGATTTGAGCACACAGCTGTTTTCACCCCTGTTCAACCCTCTAAGTCAACAGTGTATAATAAAGAACACTGGATATGGTCATGTTTTGAAACTTCAGATTCAGGTTCAATTTCACCACTCAGTTCTGCTTCACTTATCCTCACCAAGTCACTGGACTTCTGAATACCAGTTTTCCATTTGGTAAATTTGAGGATTTAGTAGTCTAAGAGGGTCTAAGGACAATAAAACATGAAATGAAGGTCTAACCTGATCAAGATCAAGAGACTTTCAGATGGAAAAATAATGCCAACTGTCATGAATACTTAAGGATCTCAGAAATAGCTGGTCACATGTTTAATTTAGGATCACTAAGAAAATGGAGGTCATTCATTTATTTCCCAACTTTTTTCTGCTCCCACTTTCAAATTTTTATTTTAAAGAGGGTGGACCTGATATGAAAGTAGCTAAGTTTTTAAAAAGAACATAATAAAAAATGAAATCATAAAATATCATTGTTAAGTTTCAAAGCTGATTAGTGTTATAGCAAGGTGACCATGGCTGAAATTGGAGCCTCTATGTCTGAAACCCTAATGGAATGAGATGGAACAAGCACAGCAGAGTCTGGTGCAGCCTCACCTGCATTTAGTGTTGCTACTGTGTGTGTGATTCACTTAAGCACAAACAATTCAGACTTCCTGATACATATTGATGGCAGACTTTTGGGAGATTTTCTTATTGGGGTCACAAATCCAGACCACACTTCTCTGAAGAGAGTAAATATTTTCACTGTCAGTTTCCCAGGGGAAGGGTCAGTTTTCCAGCAGGAAGGTGAGGAGAAACAGCTTCACACTGGGTGAAGGGAAATCCTCATTTTTCTTAGGGTAGATGTCAATTTAGCTCAGATTCTGAAGACGTGGTGGTAATCAGAATGCTTCTAGTGGGGGGTTGGTCAGCTACTTCTGGTGCCTTGGAAACAGGTGCTAAAGAAAAAAAACAGTGTGGTGAGAGGCAAGAGAATCCCACTGGGTCTGGGCGGCTTATTTTATTCTAACTTTTATTCTAAAGTTTATTCTAACTTTCCTTCTGTTATTCTGGAACACTCCTGATGTCTGGTCTCTGTTGTGCTGTGGTAATAAGAGAAGGCAAGTCCCTCCTCCAAAGCCACATACACGTCACAGCAGAAGATGGCAGTGCCCAGTGCACAATCATGTACCAGGAAGCAACAGCAAAGCACAGGAGAATCCTCTGCCTCACTTTTCACAAAGTAGAGAATTATCTGTGATTCTGTTCCTAAAAGCTATCCTCGGCCACAAGGAGTGCCATTCAAAACCTCTCTCACCACTCTTGCCAAACAAGATGACATCAATTTAGGGTCAAGGCAGATTCCTACTGGTTTTCAAGTATTTAAAAATGTACATTTTCGTTGGGTAGGTTCTAGAAAGAAACATTTAGAAAGGGAAGAGGAAATTCTGGGATTATGCTGGCATGTCTCTTCCTTCGCCTTTCAGTTAATTCCAAGAAAATTTGTTCAGCTGATGAGAGAATAAAAATTTTCCAAAGATATGTAATTCTTTAAAGTCTTCAAAACATCTGATGGAAAGTGGAACAATAAAAAACCTTAAATAAGAATTACTGCCAATGAGAAGGAAAGACAGGAAAAAAGAAAATACATGGGATGAAAGAATACAAGAATAGGGAATTCAGAAAGAGCCAGAAACTCAAAGGCAAAAAGTGAGGGGAAATTAAACCAGATTTGTAGAAATTATTTTTATAAACAATGAATCAATCTATGCCAAATTATTCTAAGCACATATTGTAGTTACTGTCACCTCGTCAAATATAATTACTTATTATGTAAATATAATTAGTATGTAAAAGCAATTGTTTTAATTAAAGAGAAATCCAACGATTAAAATAACCATAGCTTTCTACTCCTATCTATTTTTGACACACATACACCACTGAACAGTACAAATGCAGAGACAGTGTTATATAGAACTAAAGAAAAAGTTGAATAATTGCTTCTTTTAAACTACTTTCTGGATTTTATCACCATTCTTCTACAATCTAACAGCAGCAAAATTAATGGAAAGTGAATTTAACTTACATGCTACCAGGAGGATGTTTGCAGTGTTATAGGTATAGGAGGAGGAAAGACAATGCAGTTTAGAGTAAGTTCTATGAAGAAAGATTTGGAGCTAACAAACATCAGAACTTGATTAGTTGTCAAGACTAAGATATTGTACTCAACTTAGTTCTATGATGGCAAATCATCAAACAGTTCTATAAACCAGGAGATACTGTTAATCTTCCACTAGACTTTCAATGAAGAACCCAAGTAGCTTACATCCTAAGGAATTACCTAAAAAGAGACAATGAGTATTTCACTATTGCAAAGTAAGCAGCTGTAATCAACTACACTATGCAGAGGCAATATATATAAGAGAGTATAAATACCCTGGACAAATTTTCAGTCCTGTGAAAACAAGCATCAATAGCAGAATACGAGTAACACCAGCACAAACAATTGGTGGTTCTTTGGCAGCAGAAATGATTCAACACAAAGATAATTTTATTAAGAATTTGTTCATTACAAATAAAAGGTCAAAGAGAGAGGCAACGAGTGTTAACTTGAGATAAAAAAGAATACCTGTTTGGGAAGAAGCACTGATACAGGCAGAAATCCAAACAAGTAGTGTTCTGATTAGGAGTGAAGGCAAGGGTGGTTTTTTTGTTTGTTTGTTTGTTTTTGTTTTTATGAGAAAGGAAAGGGAAATAACTACATGAGTAGAAGGAAGGAATTTCTATAGGTGCAAATAAGCTAAGCTATTCAATATATATACATGGTGGTGCTAATTCTAAAATATGTCTTTAATTTTTAGTGGGTAAGCAGGATGTCTGCTTTCCTGTTAACTTTGCAAACAGTTGTTTGAAATACAAAACTGGTTTGGCCCAGTCCAAAGGTTATTTTTCCCAGTTCAAACGTTCCAAATGTTGAGTAGTAAGACATACAAAGTAGTTCCTCTGAATGGCTGACCTAGCTCTATTTTAAAATGGTTCCACTTATGTCAATTTTTCACAAATTACAGTAAAATTCTAGGCAGCAATTCATTTATTAGTAACAAGTCAAGCTCACAGCAAAACAAAGTTTACTTCAGTGTGTTACTAATAGTGACATTTATTTTGAGAATGTAAATGTTGCTAAACTTAATGATAGTTGTTAAATGTTCAGTCTTAAACACTAAAGCAATTTCTATTTGGACAATCTATATTGTCAGCGTTATTAAATTTATGTAAAATGTTTGAAATAAAAGATATGTTTAGCAAGAAGATAAATTCAGTAATTATCTTGTATCACTGTCTATACCTTAGGAAAACTTGAAATAGGTGGTAAATCTGCATATTTAAACAAACCTTTTCTCTAATGACTTGTCAATTAGTGATATAACTAAATATAACTAATTTGGAAACTCCTTAGCTTTTCTAAAGCTGTTTAATCCAAATGACAGCATGTACACATATGTGTATACATACACATGTATACATATGCACTAATAAGGAACATATAGGGTAGCAGGTTACTGAAAATGGAAGCAGACAGGGTAGGCTCAAGGGCCTTATGAACATTTGTAATCATTTGCTTAGGAAGAGGTACGTCAATTTTTCTTCTTATTTTAAAAGTCCCAAACTGATTTAAATCAATAGACCTGAGCTATGGATGAAACGTGCCTAAAAACACAAAAGTTTTTAGACTATAGATCACATTTCAGGAAGCCTTCATCTACGCAAAATAAGCAAAGGTGGAAGCATGTTTTTACATCGTAGGAGCAAAGAACTTCATATGCCTTTTGCAGTATACAGTATACAATGTCTCATTCAGCCCTGGCCAGTGGTGGGAGAGGTGGCCTACACAACGCAGGGTCCTGGGTTAGGTCCCTGGCCAAGATCAGGGCTTGTGCAAGAGGCAACCAATTGATGTTTCTCTATCACAATTTAGATTAATGTTTTCTAGAAAATAAATCGCAAATTACCCAGAAGATGAGTTATTCCCACAACTTTTACATAAGTTAAAAATAATCAGATAAAACAGCTTTAAACATGGTAATTTATTTTACTCAATTGTTTAAATCCATTATTTAAAAATGTTCAAAAGGCACTTCAAAAAACATATTTAAAAATACATTTCTCTGACTTATCGGTGATCACTTAAAATAAGCAAGTCACCAGACAGTGTTAAACCATTCATGACACTATTACCTTACATAGTTTAAAAATTCCAAAACACAAACATTCACTGTGTAATATAGCACACTGCTTAGCAGTAAGATTAGTTTCCCTCTAATAATATACTTATATGAATTATTAATTTGCAGGGCCCTGCAAAGTTATTTAAACTGAATTGATATAAACTGAAAACTAGAGAGGTAAAAAAGTTGAAATAGGACACTAGTTTTAGGTTGGTTTCTCTATAGAGAATTGGTAAAATTTCTTACTCTAATCTGTATTAAAATTTCTATTTCAACATAGTTCTTATATAAACATAAGTGATTTTAAAGAAAAGATACATTTAGCATAATTTAAACCACAGGTTATCCCCCAGATTTATTAAGTATGTTTCTGCAAGGCCTACTATAAAAGTAGAGAAATCAGGCAAATGGTTTTTTATTTTGTTTTGAGAAAGTGGGGAGATGGAATACTCATAACTTTACTTCATTTAATAATTATAATCTAGAATTACTTTAAAATTGTTGACTTTTTAGTAGGGCAATATTCTGAGAGCCAGCAGACATTATTCTTAGATTTTTACTTCCAAATTCATAGGGAAACTTAAAGTTAATAGGTATGAAATTATCAATAAGCAATAGAAATTCTAATCACTAATAACAGCCAGTTAACCATGTGAAGGCAGTATTAACAGTAATTGGGCAGGGGAAGAGTAGTTAGAAAATGGAAAATAGTTTTAAAGAAAAGAAAGGGCAATCAATACAAAGAAGCAGAAACTGTAAAAGACATAATACTCCAAACTGAAAATTTAAATAGAGAATAAAAGGACAGATTTTATCGAATTAATCAAGTGAGGGGTTTCTCAATCTTTAAGCTGGTAATATATAGGATGTCCCCCCCAAAATGTATACACACTTTAAATAATTACTAATTCCAAAAAACTGTGTATACATTTTTTGGGGATACGCTACAATTTGATAGGCTCCAGGAAGTGAAAAATTAACACTCAAAAACAATTATGAAAATAACCAGTTAGCAAATTTAATGCCCAAATCCAATTACCATATTTCAAAAAATGTTCAAAACTGGTCAGTGATTTATTTCCTAATCTTCTAACAGTAACAAATACTCCTCTGAAATTTAAGGTATCTGAAAACAAATAATTTAATTCTGGGACAACAATCTGCTTTGCATCATCTATGAACTTCACAATTGAAAATACAAGTATACTGTTATGGAGAGGCCACATTAAAACCATTTATCCAAATGACAGAGATATTAATTTAAAATGTAAGTCAGTATTATCATGAAATCTGGTTTTATGTACTTTCTCAAGTACTTGAATTTTTTGCTTTATAAGGTCATAAAGGACAGTCAACTGATTCTTAAAAGTAATAAAATTTTGATAGTATCAAAATTAGCAAAAAAAACACTATTATGCATATTGTAGAATCGTATTTTCCTATATCTATTTAAACATTTTTATTTCAATTGTGGGCATTTGGGATGACACTCATTTAGGATGTTTTTAACAAATTAGTACTACTTAATGAACCCTTCCTGCACTAATGTGAAATTCCCAAATTCAAAGAATTATAGATTTTATAGTGTGGACCCTGATTTTAGTCACTCTGAAGAAGCTAAAGAATTTTGTCAAAATAAACAATCCACTGACCCTTTAAAACTGCTTTAAAGACTTTTAAATTTAATATAGTGTAATACTGGACTACACTTATTTTAAAGATGCCTTATCTAAATCTTTCAAAGATACTTTATTTACACAGCAGTTAATCCTTAATATATTCAGGAGATGGCATTTCCAACAATTTCCAAATAATACTGATACATTGTAGATTTAGACCACACTTTGAGAACCACAACCTAAGGGCATCTAGTAATAATGAACAATAGTCCTGGACCCCATGCTGGTCTCAGAATTTCTGGACTTGTGGTCTTGAAATCTGTGTTTTAACAAGCTTCCAGGCAAGAGCATAAAAACCAGAATTTGAGAAGCATCATGACTATTTGGTTAATTTTACTATTATTGACCAATGTATCACTTGCCAGTAAGTAAAAATGGAAAAATGCTAAATGACTAATCTCTGGGCTGACACAGTACAAAGAGCACATAGGCTTTGAGTAGAAATCCCAGCTATTACTTATTAGCTTTGTGACAGTGGAAAAGATACTTTAACTCTGAGCCTCACTTTTCTCATTCATATGTGAATAGCATCCAATTTGTTAGGATTAATGCTAATGTACAAAGAGTATCTAAGCACAGTAATTGGCATATAGTATGCATCAGATAAAAACTAGCTATTACTTATAAGAAATGAATAAAATATTTCCTTCAATACTGATTTGATTAAAGCAGATTTTTCGCTCATTTGAAACAAATATTTACACTCCAAGTTAACAGACTAAAACCTTATATTTATTGCTTCATACTCTGGACCAGACAATATTCTAAAAGCCATACATATATTCACTCATTTAATCCTCATAAAATTCCAGTGAGGTAGGTAGTGTTATTGTCCCTAATTTACAGATGAGGAAATTGAGGCACAGAGAGATTAAGGAATTGCTCAAGGTTACAAAACTAGTAAGTGATGAAGCAAGAATTTAAACCCAGGTAGTCTAACTTCAGGACCCTAGGATTTATCACAATGTTCATTTCCTTTAAGATTTTTGGATGTTTATAATAAACTCTTTATGCTGCTAGTACAGAAAAGTGGCAAATACGGATTCAGATAAACTCATATCCACACCAAAGTAAAGAGCTATTTAAGAACAGAATGAATGCCTTGAAATTTTGGCAGATGACCATCATGAAAACAATAAAAAACAATTTAATGGGTAAAAATTGGTGTGAGTATTCACTACATAGACAAAGCATACATAATTGGCCACTAAGATGAACATCCTCTCAAATATACCATCTAAAGAGGTCATGGTTTTGACATGTTTTGGCACAATAAATAGAAACTATTTAGCTAAACAGTAGAGTCAATGGTGTGACAGCCATGTAAAATTAGCATGATAAACATAAGAGAAATATAAATCACTTGTACCATTTATGATAATCTTATAGAAAGTCTGTAAAATATTGTTATGATACACTCAGGTAATGTTGCTAAAGATAACAAAAATTATTTTTTTTTCCTTCCAGAAACTCTTTAGAGGGTCACTAAAATAAGAACAAAATATTCATGAATGTGTTTTAGATGACAGTCTTGAATAGGTATTCTGCTCAACTGCAATAATCTATCCATTGGCAATACAATCATCCCCAAATAGAGGATGGGACAAAATAGAATTTACTCTTCAATTATTTATTATTGTATTTTTTCTATACAAACAACTGTAAACCTACTTTTGCCCCACCCTGTACATAAGTCAGCATCAAATTTAGATATTATTCATAAAATAAGTATTTTGTCTTTTAATACCTGACATATTTCAACTTGTTTAAGAGTTGTGCATTTCCTAATGTTTTTAATTAACTCTGGTCAAAATTTTGCATTCAAATTATTTTGCCAGTGCAATTGATAACCACCTTACATCCTAAAAATGAATTTTAAAACTGTTTTAAAGAAGTTATAAAAGGCACAAAACAAGTTCTCATCTCTCAACAGGATAATAATGAAAAGAACTATAATTATGTAGTTGGAAAAGTTTTAAATGATCAATTAAAAGTGTCGCTTAATTGATCAAAAACAAATTGTAATTCCTGAGTGGCTGTGATATCAAAAAACATTCCCCAAGAAGCATTAAATTTACTATTTATTAGTTACCCATAATTAACAATGGGTAAATATGGGAACAAAATATTTAATCAAATGCTTTAAAGCTTTGAGTAAATATTAATAGTTGAAAACGGTATCCAAGAATGGTTAAACATATTTAGAAGAGATAACAGAAACTCAGCATACTACCTTAGATATATTGTGGTTTCAGGTCCAGACCACCACGATAAAGCAAGTGTCGCAATAAAGCGAGCCATTATCTTTTGTTTTTTCTTGAGGAGAGTTTTGCCTTGTAAAAGGCGCAACATCTGTGAAGCACATAAAGCAATAAAACGAGGTATGCCTATAAACTATTAACTATTGATTAGAACCAAGTATATACACTATATATTATAGTCAAGGCCCATGATCATTTCAAAATGTGGTTTTATTAATGTGCATTAGGATGAGTGCCATTCTGATTCTACCTTCTTCTGAGAGAAATATTGCCAATTTTAAATAATCACAGCAAAATTTAGATTAGCCAAAACTACACACACAGGTATGTGTTGGGAGAGGAGGGGTTCATTTATACCATACTGTGAATATAAACTCATGTCTTGAGTTTATACACAACACTGAACAACAATACTTCCTTCTAAAATTTTAAGGCAGATCTATTTAGCATCATGTGTGTGATACTAATATGGTGCAGTATAGCTTTAGCAACTGTTTTATCTTCCCAGTGAAAATAATACGTATGGTCAGAAACAGGCAACAAAATCTTTTTAGCCCCTCTGCCTTACCAACATTATAAAAACACACGTTTTTCATATATATATTACTGTATCAAAACACATTTTAACAGACTTCACAGCTTACTAAAGCTTCAGTTTATAGGCGTTCATATGAAAAATTTCTAATACAGAATGTTCATTTAGAATTCTTCACTGGGCTTCCAGTGTTCTACATCAGAAAGCAGAAGTTCTTCTTCAGTGCAATGTTAGACATTTTACCTCTGTTCATTTATGCTTTTCTTTCAAGATTTCCCAAAATTTACTTTGGATCTTCATTTTTGTATGCTTGACTTATTTCCTTCCGTATATTTTCAGGTAAGGCAGGTTGATATCTGTATAAATATCCATATGGACGAAGATGATAAACGAGGTATTCTAACTCATACATGGTTGTAGGATCAACATAGTGAAAAGAAACTGCAAGATCAGAACAGCAACCAGGACCCTGAAAAAGTAGTGGAAACAGACATTATTAAATAAGTAACACATTGTTAAAATACAGTATGCACACAGTGATAAAGGAAACACTAATTTTAACAGAATCCGGTAATTAAAGCTGCCAAGGTTTAAAGAGGCATCTAAGTTATTAGACCTGGAAGAAAGAATTTTTTAAGGCTCCTAATGATTTAAAACCAAATATGAAATTGTTAAAGCATTTCAAATTGAAGTAATATTCTCTTACTCTATAGTGTTTCAGCAGGAAAAAATCTTGAGACTTTTTTCAATAAAAAGGATAAAGCTCTATTTCTTCCAGTTTTGCTTTTTCTTCATAATTTTCTCACTATAAATTTTTGTTTGGCTGAGCTCCAGAAAGATACCGTCAGAACATTCAATAACTAGAAAGCCTTGCCTATTATCTGTCTGCAATCTAATACTTCATCTATACATTAACTTAAATAGTAAGAAAGGAAGTTCTGAGTCAAACCTAGGTTTGAATCCAAATTTTGCCTACTGGTGTATGACATTGGCAAGTTATTAAATCTTTATAAGCATCAATTTCCCCATCTGCAAAAGGGGTTAAAAGAGATAATGTGCTCCTTAGGACTATGCTTTGCCTATAATAAATGCTCCATAAATGTCAACTATTATTGATAAGAATAATCACATTCAGGTAAGTAAGAATTTATACCTTCATTCACTTACATAATTGTCATATATTCCTAATACAGTTGGCATGAGAACAAGTTTAAAACAAAATAAAAATACAATAAACAAATGAAAAAGCAAAAAATATAGAAAACTGGGGGGAAAAAACTGGTCATAGAATTAATCAGAGGTCATTTGGGGATCAGAATTGGTATCTGGAGAATGTTTCAGGTGATTCCACCAAAACTGGGATCCTATCTAATGTCTTTGCAAGGACCCAGGAAGAAAAGAGTCTGGTAAGTTACCAGAGAAGATTCATACTGACCTATTAAATTGAATATTTAATAATTTATGTTTGGAAGTATGCAGCTTACAATGCAGTAAAAATTATCAAGAAATTATTCATTGTATTTTCTCTGGCTAGATTCTCAACTTTTCCTTTGAGACATTGTGAAATCTTGGATAATTATTTAGGCACTGAAAAATTATCTGGTATCTACTTTTTAAATCTTGAGGGAACATAATAGAAACAAATATGAAAAGTAAACTGTAGCCGAAGCTGGTTTGGCTCAGTGGTAGAGTGTAGGACTGCGAACTGAAAGGTCCCAGGTTCGATTCCGGTCAAGGGCATGTACATTGGTTGCGGGCACATCCCCTGTAGGGGGTGTGCAAGAGGCAGCTGGTCATGTTTCTCTCTCATCGACATTTCTAGCTCTCTATCTGTCTCCCTTCCTCTCTGTAAAAAATCAATAAAAAATACTAAAAAAAATAAAAAGTAAACTGTAAGTCAGCTTGTGATTACCTAAATCAGCTCTATCCAATGGATATATCTAACCACATAATGTAGTTGAATATTTTCTAATAGCCACATTTTAAAAAGTAAAAATAGGTGAAATTAATTTGATGTAATTTAATCTTACTGAATAAATCCATATTACTCTTTCAATATGTAATATTTTAAAAATTATTAATAAAATTAATCTTCTCAGTTGTGCTAAGACTTTGAAATCAGTCATTAATTTTATAATTAAAGCACATCTCAATGTGGACTTGTCATATTTCAAGCTCTCAATAGTTAATGTTAGTGGCTTTATACTGGCCAGTACATATTGAATTAAAAAACCAGAACAATAGCAGTTATTTTTAAACTGCTGATCCACTATGGAAGCAATTTTATTTGACTCTGAAATACTGTAATAATATTTTTACAAGATTTACTGCATTAATTATGTTACACTCAATATTATTGCTTTTTACTGGATGGTCAGGAAACTGCTATTATTAAACATTATAAGCAATAATATATAATTAAACAGCTATAATTATTAAAAATAAAATAGTTCTTTGCATACGATTATGGTTATTTAAAAAAGAGTCAAGGAATCTAAGAACAAAGCCAGATTTTAAAGATGCTTAAAAAACCAGAAGCTTTCATATATATGAGTGTGTGTGTATGTGTGTGTGTGTGTGTGTGTGTGTGTGTGTATGTATGTGTGTGTGTATATATATATATATATATATATATATATATATATATATATATATAGTATTTTTCGGGCCATAAGACGCACTTTTTTTCCCCCAGAAGTGGGGGGGGGAAAGTCCCTGCATCTTATGGTCCAAATATAGCCTACACATATACTTTAAAAAAAAAGTTTTTTTACTTGCCCGGCTCTGTGTGGTCTCTGTGTGCTTGCCCGGCTCTAAAATGGTTCTAAATGCTGCTGTTTACTTTACAGCGTTGATTACATGTGTTTATGACTGTGATGTTGGGTTTTAATGCACATAAAATATTTTAGGACACTATTTGTTTCAGAATCTTTTCTTCTTCATTTCCCTTCTCTAAAAACTGGTGCGTCTTATGGTCCGGAGCGTCTTATGGTCCGAAATATATGGGGGTGTGTGTGTGTGTGTGTGTGTGTGTGTGTGTGTGTGTATAATTATGTTTTAAGAAAGAGCCTAAGTAGAATAGTAACAAAAATATTAGATACCTGGGGAAATACTTAAGAAGGAATAAAATTCTGAAGAAAACTAAAAAATTTCAATAGGGGACTTAAAAAGCAAATTAAAAAATCCTGGGCAATTATGTCCACTGTCCTTAAATTAATAAATTTATACTCAAGGATAAAGACATAAGAGTTGCCAGAACAGTCTTAGATTAATAACTTAAATATTTTGCTGAGCCAAAACCAAATAGAATGGAACAGAACTTGAAATTCAAAAACTGATCCTACACTATACTATATAGTGTATGATAAAGGAGATATTTTAAATCACTAATGAAAATAAGATTCAGTTAAAATAATGGTATTGAAATAATTAGTTAACCATTTTTTAAAAAATCAGGAGCTCTCTACCTCATCATATGCCAGTAAGTTTCAGAAGAATTAGTTAATGTAAACAGAACTGACAAAGTAATAGAGTAAGTCATATTTAATCATTTTTGATCCATGAAAGAGGCAACTTCACATGTAGAAGAAAATATTTATCAATATATATATAGGCAAATATAAAATAAAGAATACAAAAGAATAAACTGTTTCAGATACTCTAATCTGTAAACCTACTTTTGCCTACCCTTTTGTGTGTGTGCACGCATGTGTGTATTTACATATTAATATAAATACACATCTATTTTAAATCCACTGTATTATGACTGCAAATTCTCTGGTGAAAAGTCTATTTCTGGGGAACAGACTCACTTATAGCGAATTAAGGTGGAATGAGAAGGGAACTGTATGAAGAGTAAAGTTCTGAACAACCAACTTAAGATCATAAACTGACCAACTATAATATTTTACACTCTCACTTGCTATATAAAATTTTTCTATACTGTATTTTTAGTGATTATTACAGAGAATGTATGAATGAGATTTAGGATGACTTTAAAATAGTAATTCAGGGAGAAAAAGTATTAATGGATGAGTATTAATAGAAGTTTGATTTCATGTTGGGTTTATATAGAATCTCCTAAGAGAGAAGAGGCAGCATTGAAGTCTGGGTCAGTTCTGGCACTCCCAAATCTATGTTATAGTTTTCAATATAACTGAATAAATTTTTACATAAAAAAAAGTTTTTGCCATCCATTTAAAAAACGGCAATTTAAATAAAAGGTGCACTATAAGCTCTGGCCAGGTGGCTTGGTTGGAGCATTGCCCTTTCACCAAAAGGTTGCAGGTTTGATTCCTGGTTAGGACACCTAAACTTCAGGTTGCTCTGGATGGAAAACAAACAAAAAAAGCCCCAAGTCAAGAACTACTATTTTGGTGATGATTTGGAAGTGCTAGCCTGTCCTGTGGACCGAAGGGTCCTGGATTGATTCCAGTCAAGGGCACATACCTTGGCTGCAGACTCCTTCAGGGTCAGCGCTTGTGCGAGAGGCAACCAATTGATGTGTCTCTCACACTGACATTTCTGTCTTTCCCTCTCTCTAAAAATCAATGAAAAAATACCCTCAGGCAAGGATTTAAAAAAAAGTTCTAGTCTGTCTAGAAGAGAATGATAGCATGATGTATCTTTTTTTTTTTTTAAATATATTTTATTGATTTTTTTACAGAGAGTAGGAGAGAGGGATAGAGAGCTAGAAACGTCGATGAGAGAAACATCGATCAGCTGCCTCTTGCACACCTCCCCACCGGGGATGTGCCCGCAACCAATGTACATGCCCCTGACGGGAATCGAACCCGGGACCTTCCAGTCCGCAGACCGACGCTCTACCACTGAGCCAAAAAGGTTTCGGCTGATGTATCTTACTTGTATCACTGGGCCACAGAAAAGAAGGCATAGAATTCTAGTAACTTCCCTAAGGGCATTATTAATTAACTAGAGACCCAGAGGAAGGTGGGGTTCCTTAGCCCAGCCTGTGTCCTCTCACAGTCCGGGACCTTGGGACTGCTGGTTACAGCCCTGATAGTCAAACATCCCCCGAGGGATGTGGAAGTGTGCAAAGCTGCAGGCGGCTGGGGTGCCGCTTCCAATGATCCTGGTCGTGCTGTGCCTGCCGCCGCTGCCGCTGCCACCACTCGGTGGCACTACTGCAGAGGTGGGAGAGGTTCACACTGCTGCAGCCATGCCCACCAGCCATGAGCCTGGCATCCGGCGCCCACTGGTCAGCTGAGTGGCGTTCCCGCAGTGGGGGCACACTGATCACCAGGGGGGCAGCTCCTATGTTGAACATCTGCCCCCCCTTGTGGTCAGTGCACATCATAGCTATGGGCCAGTTGTCTGGTCATCAGGTCGCTTAGGCTTTTATATATATAGGGTAGAGGCCCAGTGCATGAATTCGTGCACCAGTGGGGTCCCTTGGTCTGACCTACAGGATTGGGCCGAAACCAGCTCTCAGACATCCCCCGAGGAGTCCCGGATTGCAAGAGGGTGCAGGCCAGGCTGAGGGGCCCCACCAGTACATGATTGGGGTCGGAGAGGGATGCAAGAGATTGGTCAGCCGGGGAGGCGCTGTGGGAGAGCTCTAAGGTATATCCAGCCCATCTTGCTCAGTCCGGATTGACCAGACTCCAGCAGCAAGCTAACCTACCGGTCGGAGCGTCTGTCCACTGGTGGTCAGTGCATGTCATAGTGAGCAGTTGATTGGCCTTAACATATCATTAGTATATTATGCTTTGATTGGTTGAACAGCCAAATGGACAACTGGACACTTAGCATATGAGGCTTTATTATATAGGATAAATAACAGAACTGAGTATAAATGCTGGGTTTTGTGATTCCTGAACTCTTTCAGTCATTCACTGCTGGAACTGGTCATAATAGTGAAAACCCAGCAATAGCCTATTAAATGTTCATAAGCAGGAGAATGAATAAATTACAGTACATTATTAGGTTATTACACAGAAATCTAAATTAATAAAGTAGATACATAGATTAATGTTGATAAGTTTTACTATATAATTTATTTAAAAATCTGTAAAACAATATTATATATTATTTATAGACACATAAATATGTAGGAAAAATATAAAAACAAGTCTGGCAATGATAAATATTAAATTCATGATATTATCTGAAGAAGGAGGTAGGAGAAATGGATTGGGGAGGATATATAGGCCTCAACTATATCTATAATCTTTTTCTTTAAAAAAAAAAAATCTGAAGCAAATGTAGTAAAATATTAGTATTTGGTAAAGCTGGTTTGTTGGTACAAGACATTATACTTTTCTCAAATATTTGTACATCTGAAAATTTTAATAAAATAATGTACCTTAAAGTTTTCAAGAATGTAAGTTAAGGTGTCAAATGAGAGCTAAGACTTATTAGGTACTTAGTGTGTGATAGACACTGCACTGCACTGCACTGTAATTACAACTGGATAAGAAAGGTAGATCATATCCATTTTACAAATGAGAAAACTGATGCTAGGAAGTTAGGCAAATTCTGTCCATACCAGGTCATTCAACTATTAAGTAGGAAAGCATTCAACTATTAAGTAGGTCTTTCTGAACCTCAGAGTCTTTTGATGTGTTGTTTCTTAACCATCCAAACTAGAGTACCCTACTCTACTCTAAGTCATTCTCCATCCCCTTGCCTGTCTTTTTCTTCAGGACACTTACCACAACCTAGAATCACATTATATCTTAATTTGTCTGTGTGTTTATTGTATGTCTCTTCATCTAGAATATAAAGTTAATGAGAACTGAAACTTGGCCATATTTACTGCTATAGTCTCAGTGCCTGGCATATAGTAGTACTAATATTTGTTGACTGACTGAGTTTTGCTCATATTCTTATTTACTGTGTTATACTGTCACTCTACATAAAAAGACTATAGGAGATTCTCAGTATTACTAAAGAAACATACATATATATTTTTTTTTTTAAAGTAAGCAAAAGTCAGTCCAAGTATTTATATTGTAATAAAATTTCTAAACTTACCTCTACAGGAGGGTAATAGTTATAATTCCAGTACCAAAATGTTTTAGGTAGAAAACCCTTGATTAAGTGGTGCTCTGGCACAAAGGGATGAAAAGTTTCTTTTCCAATGGTATCTCTGGAATCTCCCGCTTCTACATTTATAGTTTCCATGCATCTTCCCAGCGCTAAATCTTCAATGGAGGAACTATGTGTACATTTCTCTGTTTTAAACGCATCAACAAATCTCTTCAAGGCTTCTTTGCTCAGAACATATCCTGCTCCTCCACTCATGTAGCCCTGCTTAACGTAGGGCTTAAATCTTCTCCCAAAGTAAATGGGTTCTTCGGGGCTGTGCTTTGAGAGAAGCCATCTCAAATTGTCTAGTATAACATATGTATCGTCATCGGCTTTCATAAACCAATCCGCATCTTCTAGATAGTGATCATGAACATACTGAAAAGCTTTAATTGTTTTCCAGTATAGCTGGTCTCTGCCTTCTCTGGTTTCTAATCCCACAGCAGGGAAGGCTTTATCTTCTTCTGAACTCATAAACAATACTTTATTACAGCGCTTGGCCCATGTAGCTTTGACATGTTTAGCCTTTTTCTCTAGATTCTGAGGTCCTGTCATAACCCAGCAAAGAATTTTAACCTTCTCATAGAGGTTGTCAGCGATGTCCGTGTTCTCATCTATTAAACAGAAAATTTCAAAGTGAGATTTTATATATATAATGTGAAATCCAAGAAAATTATGCATTTTCTTAAACAGCATCAAAGAACCACCCCACCTCCTGTCCCCATTTCTATTTACCTAGCTACCATTAGTGATTTAACTGAAAGAAAACAAAACTCAACCTAATATGAACTATCATTCTGATCTATTGGTTTCATGTCAATCTTATCCAGGAGATCAGTGTAGCTAATAAGAGTTGTCACTATGACGTCAAATTTTCAATAATTTTTCATTGCTCTGAATAAACTCTGAAAGGCAGGAAAGACATGCTGCTGAAGTGGCAGTTCATTTTGAAGCTCATAATTTGAATTTCTATAAGTACCCTAAGGTGGCTTTTTTTTTTCTTACTGTAGTTGAAGTTCTTTTCTTTCTTTTTTTTAAATTTCTTTTGAGACCCAATTTCAATGTCAAACAGTTCCTTACGTGTACATGTCAGCAATGATATTTATATAAGTTCTGGATGGTGGGCAAATGGTGGTTAAGGTGGCTTTTTAAAAAAGGTTTTCCTAACTACCCCAGTTCCATGAAGAGACATTAATGCAGAGTTGAGATTACTTCCAATAGTAATATATCTCATTACAAAATGCAAAACCACCAGTCAGGAAAAGATCACATGAATAGGAAGAGGTAGTATTTCCAAAATCATCTAGAGTAGTGTTTTGCAAAGTATGGGTTTGCAAAGAAATATATAAGGAGCATTTGCCGGAATATAAAGCAGCATATTAATTTTTTCTTTGAAGAAGTTTTGCTTCTCCCTCTCCCTCAAAAAAAGTCCTAAGCAGTGAGTTGAAATGATTTATATCCTAGTGCAAGCTCCTTATCTGGGTGCAGGTAGGTAACAAACAATTCACTGGCTGTCATGCCAAAACCACATTTTGAGTAACAACAGGGAGAGGAAGAGTTCAACTCTAAGATTCTAAATCAGTGCTTTGTGAAGGACCAATTTTTGCATCCAATAGTTTGAAATTTATATTTTTACAAACATGCTAAAAACAAAATACTGAAAAATAAAAATCATACATAAAATCCAAACCCCAGCAAGTTTTTATATTTAGATTTAGACATTACTGTCAAGTTACCATAAAATGTCTTTTAATCGTGATTTCAATAATTCTTTAGTTGTGGACCAGCATGAGTCTGCAAAACCACACTTGTGTAGCAATGCTCTAGGCATAATCCTCAGAAAGCACATCCTTAAAGTTAAGGTCAACTAGTGAGTTATGAAAGCTAACACCTGTGAAAAATTAACAACTAAAGACATAAATTTCTAGTTAACTGATTGTGAGGGAATAGAAGGCATGGTTGGGGGAGGGCATGAAAATATACTCATGCCCCACTAAATATCAAGAATTCATAATCTGAAAATGGACAAAATCATCCTATTTTCAATCAGAGAACATTCATGGTTCTTATACTTGGGAGCCCAATTTCCTAGCTATACAGACATACCAAATCCTGAATGGAAAGGGAAAACGGTAGAGGCAGAAATCTGCAATATGTTTCACTAAGAGCAAGAAAACTTTTTCCCCACTGCTAGGTGGATATTCTTTCTCATTCTTTCAATCATTCATTCATTAATTACTTTGTAGTAAGCATGTGCTAGCACAGGAGATAACAGGATGAATGAGATACATTTGCAAACCAATACTTGCCATATACTAAGAGATGCTATAATTTCTGAGGTATGTACAAAGGGTTTGATGTGCTGTGGAAAAAGAAAGCAGTGGCTGGCAAATCCTATGGAGCAGTGCAATGGGAACTTGGCTAGAATAAAGAAGGGGGGAATAAAGCAATTATCAGCAAAAATAAGAGATAATGCAGAAAATACATCTTTAAAGGAGGAGATGCTCACCAAAAGAAAGGACAAAAGGCATGGTGAAGTTTGGTTGAGTGCAGGTAGATGGGTATAACTTGGGCCTAATCAGGGGAAAAGCACTATAGATTGAGAGAAGAAATCTGAAAAATGGTAAAGAAAGTGAACTATTAGATTTAAGTGACAAATGAGATAGACTGGTAGCAAAGAAAAGCATCTACCATGACTGCAACATTTCTGACTTGTACAGATGATAATAAGATATATAAAATAAGGGATACAGAAGGTAGAGTAAGTTTTAGAAGTAGAAAAGAAAAGGAGTTCATTTGCATATTAAATTTGAGAGGAAGAGAACTTTTAGCATACCCTAAAAAGGCACTGGAGGAGGACAAGTAGGTACCTAATATATGTGCCTGCAGTAAGGTCTACCTAGCACAGCTTACTAGCAGTAGAGGAGCCTCAATCTAATTGATCATTTCAAGACTTAGAGCAATGCTACAGAGCAAATGCACATTGATCAAACTGCTTTCCAATAAGAACACCTGCTCAGAGCTGAATCACTGTTATATAAACATTCACACAAAATAAAACAAGTTGTAATGTGCTTGCTAGTTCACAAAAATCAATCAAGATTTGACACCTTGCCCTACAACCACCATTTGAGAGGGAGGAAAGAAATAATTTACTGCCAGAAAGATAACAGAAACAACTGTTAATGAGGACCCTCTGCATCCTAGAATTCTAATTGTTTTCAAGCTGCTTGCATTCTTTTCTGTCAAATAAACCACAAAATTTTCAGAGATCTTTGAATTGTGTTAATGCCTTTTTATAGTGTCTAGAACTGGGCTAAAGATAGACAATAGACCTAGCAGTTTGGCTCAGTGTATAGAGCATTGGCCTTCAAACTGAAGGGTCCCAAGTTTGATTCTGGTCAAGGGCACATGTCTGGATTGCGGGCTCGATCCCCAGTTGGGAAATTGCAGGAGGCAGCCAATCAATGATTCTCTCTCATTAAATGTTTCTGTCTCTCTATCCTTCTTCTTTCCTCTCTGAAATCAATATATATATATATATATATATATATATATATATATATATATATATATATATGTAATCATGTGCTGGGCCTCTAATCTACACTAATAAAAGAGAAACATGCAAATTGACCATATCTCTGCTACACCCACCAGCCAATCAGGAGCAAGTATGCAAATTAACCCAACCAAGATGGCTATCAGTCACAGAGCATGCAGGAAGCTTGGGTTTCCCCGGCAATGGAGGAAGCCAAGCTTCCCACCCATTCTGGCTGGCTCTGGCCTCTGCTCAAGGCTACAAAGTTTCAATTATAGAAGATAAATAAATCCCAGATACCAGGGCCTCCGCTTGGGTCCCCAGAGGGCATGGCCGGCCTGCAAACCACCACAGGCCCTCGCCCAGGCCTCCCCACACCCCAAGGAAACCCCCACCCTGCTCTGGGACCCCCCTCAGGGCAAACCAGCCGGCCCTCAGCCATGCACCAGGCCTCTATCCTATCTAATAAAAGAGTAATACACAAATTGATTGCCACTCCAACACACAAGATGGCTGCCCCCATGTGAACATAAGATGGCCGTCACAAGATGGCCAGCAGGGGAGGGCAGCTGGAAGGGACCAGGCCTGCAAGGGAAGGCAGTTGGGAGGGACCAGGCCTACAAGGGAGGGTATTCGGGGGCAATCAAGCCTGCAGGGGAGGGCAGTTAGGGGTGACCAGGTTGGCAGAGAAGGAAAGTTGGGAGCGACCAGGCCTGCCGGGCAGGACAGTTGAGAAGGACCCAGGCCTGCAGGAAAGGGCAGTTAGGGGCAATCAGGCTGGCAGGGGAATGGTTAGGAGGTGATCAGGCTGGCAGTCAGAAGCGGTTAGGGCAATCAGGAAGGCAGGTGGTGAGCAGTTGGGAGCCAGCAGTCCTGGATTGTGAGAGGGATGTCTGACTGCCTGTTTAGGCCTGATCCTACCGGATGTGCAGTCAGACATCCCTCAAGGGGTCCCAGAATGAAGAGGGTGCAGGCTGGGCTGAGGGAAACACACCTCCATGCACGAATTTCATGCACTGGGCCTCTAGTATATATATAAAAGATAAAGACAATAAGCAAGAGATGAAAATTAAAACTGTGGGGGTTGATGACATCACACAGACAAAGAAGAGCCAAAGGACAGAGACCTGGAGAAAGCCTACATTTAAAGGGCACACAGAGGACTCGATTGAGAAAATCTAGTTAGAGATATGAGGCAAGGAGAAAATGAAGTCATTATAACACACCCTTAGTTTTTTTAATTCCCTATTTCCTTATGCTCCTAAAAAGGAAAAAAGATTAGTGATATTAACTATTGATAAAATTATAAATTAAAATTTATGTATATATCTTGTGTTTTTCTAAGAAAACACAAGCAAAAACAAAGATCAAAACAAAATGATAGCAAAAACCAAGATGCAGATATAAACCAGGACAGCACAATTACACTAAATAAAAATTTCAGAAACAAATCTAGACTGAAAAGTTTTGCCTTTTACCAAATTACAGTTTCTGAACTAGTTTTATTTAAAAATGAATTTAAAATTAATATTTTACTCCCTAAGTTCATCTGGGTTTTAGCAATTTCCTTCTTCTGAGGCAAACTGAGTATTGTCATTTAACATCTAAAATTAAGATCATTTTTATCAAAAGATATACTGTCATATAACAAAATTCATATAACTCTTTCAAATTCTTTCAGTACTTACATAGACTGAGAAATACTGTTCAATACTGAAAAATACTCCTTAATAAAGTAATCCATACCTTTATGTTGGCTAGCATCTGCATTGAAGTCCATCTGTCCTTTTAGATGATACTCTCCATTATCATCTGAATGCCCATCATGAGGATCATTATGAAGAATCTTAGGTTGGGTGTCATCCTGTTCTCCCAACAAAATACTAAATAGCTGAGAACACAAAACAAATCCAACTGCTAATCCACAGAGGAAGATTAAAAAATTCAGCCAAGATTTAGAGGCCATTTCCCAAAAGTGTATTTCTGTAAGAAAAAAAATTAATAGGATGTTATAAACTATAGAGCATTATACATAACAAAAGTAAAAAGTCTGATAACTGTTAGCTATGCTGGAAAATTAACTCCTTTCATATAAGAGAACATATTTAAGAATATTTAACTTTTACCTATGCACAGGAGATAAAAGGATGAATTCACTGCTAAAACAGCACATTATAGATAAATCAAAAACTGAATAATCATTGTTGAGATGGGACATGGGAAAATATGATTCAGTCAGAATCATTTGAGGAGCTTTTTAAAAATACAGACTTTTAGACTCAACAAATGAAATTTCAGATGCAAAGTGCTGGGACAACTAAAGTTTATATTTTTACTTTATTTCTTAAGGAAAAGTTTTGTGTTATTCTTTGTTTAAAAAAAACAGCAAAAAACATGCAAGCAATAAAGCACTGCATGAAGAAAGAAATCACTAAATCCTAGAAACAATATTTTGATGAATATTACAGATATGAATAACATCCTATGTAATAAAAGCCTAACATGCAAACTGTCCCTTCAACCAGAAGTTTGACTGCTTGCTATGATGTGCACTGACCAACCAGGGGGTAGCGCAGAACACGGTGGGCGTTGGCACTACCGCAGTGGAGGCGCTGCTGGGCCCGATGGGCCCTGACGAGAGCGGGACCATGGCAGGATGGTGAAAAGGGTGAGTGGGCAGTGTCTGGCCAAGGTGGGTGTGAGTGGGAGCCTTATTGCCCTGCAGATCACCCCACAGATGGCAACCAGCAGCGGCGGTGGGGTGCAGGGGTGCAGATGGTAACCGGCAGCCAGCAGGCCTAGATTGCCCAATTGGGGCTGAGCCCTGGGCTGGGCTGAGGAACTCGGGGCGGGTGCAGAAACCTCCTGCAGCACTTGGGAGGGCGGCTGCAACCTCTCACCAGCTACTTGGGGGTGGGGAGTAATGGGGGTGGAGGTGCAGTGAGAATGTGGGGTGTCCACTGAGCTCACTCTCACTCCCCCTGCAATCTTCCCCCAGAACACCAGGGCTCGTGTGCCAGGGAAGCATCTGTGCTCAGGTACTGGGTGCCCGGGCCACAGCCACCAGGGCCACAGCCACCAGGACTACAGGGGCTGGTTGAGCTCCCTGTGGGTTTGCGCAGGAGCCAGTCTGTGAGGACAACTTTCGAGCAGTGCTGCTAGGCGGCCCAGAGGCCCACGCTGCACTCCAACCCGTAGTGTCCAGCTGCTGCCCAGAGCCTACAGGTCAGCTGGGACCTGCCCTTCCACACCAAGCACTTGCTCTTCAACCGCCAGCCAGGTCTAGGAACCACACCTATGCAACGAATTTCATGCACCAGGCCTCTAGTCTTTATGAATAACAGAGACAGAGATAGAAGGAGAGATAATTGTAGCTAACACTTGATTCCTGTACCAAGAGCTTTACCTGGATTACCTTAAACTAGGGGTGTCGAACTCAATCAGAGAAGGGGCCAAAATCTAAAATCCAGCCTAAATCGCGGGCCGAATGGTTTACTGAACAGTCATAAACTGTCATTGTGATGGAAACGCAGCGGAGTGCAGTGATGACAGCGCGGTGCGGGCCACATTGCAAGGCCTGGCGGGACGGATTTGGCCCGCGGGCCTTGTGTTTGACACATGTGCCTTAAACCATAAACTAAGGACCACTGATCCTATTTCACAGATGAATTCAGACAGAGAGGTTAGTAACCATCCCAGGATCACATTAGCAATCTAAATCGAGTTCAGACTCTTGCCCTGGCCAGGTGGCTCAGTTGATTGTAGTGTCATCCCGTACACCAAAAGGTTTCAGGTTCAATTCCTGGTCAAGGCACATATCTAAGTTATAGGTTTAAATTCCACTCAGGGTAGGTAGGAGAGGCAACTGATCAACGTTTCCCTCACACATCAGTGTTTCTCTCTCTTTCCCTTCCTCTCTCTAAAACCAATAAACATATCCTTGGGTAAGGATAAAAAAAAAGTTCAAACTCTTCACCACTTTGCTATAATTTTACAAAATTTGGCTTGTAATTTGTATATTTACAAAATAGTCATGCTAACATATTAAGTTAGATTTACCTGAATTTATGAAAAAAAGAGAAATTAAATAAATGTAAACAAACTTTGAATGTTAGCTAAACATTTGACATGACCTCCCTCTTTTCAATGATCCCTTGAAGATAAACATTATGAAAAACATAAGACAATTGGGCCGGGACCGGTTTGGCTCAATGGATAGAGCATCGGCTTGGGGTCTGAAAGGTCCCGGGTTCGATTCCGGTCAAGGGCATGTACCTTGGTTGCGGGCATATCCCCAGTAGGGGGTGTGCAAGAGGCAGCTGATCGATGACTCTCTATCATCGATGTTTCTAGCTCTCTATTTCTCTCCCTTCCTCTCTGTACAAAATCAATAAAATATATTTAAAAAAAAAAAAGACAATTGGAAGCATGTACACACCTTGTATGACTAAAAGCTAAATAATGCTGATTTTAAAAATCAAGTAAGACCTAACTAAAAAAAACTGGGGAGACAGAATATGTTGATGAAATAGAAGACTCAACATAGTAAACATGTCAATTCTCCCTAAATGGATACACAGATTTAATTCAATTTCTATGAAAATTCTTTTAAGATTCCTTGTATAGACAAGATTATTCTAAAATGTATATGTTAAGGTGAATGAACTAGAATAGTTACAACAATTTTTAAAACTACGTGAATTTAAGATATCTTATAGCAACTGAAATCAAAACTATATAGTACTGGAGTACAAGGCTTATGGACTTGCAGGCTCGGTCCAACATGTAGGAGGCAGCCAATGACCTTGATGTTTCTACTTCTCTTTTCCTCTCTAAAATCAACAGAATAGACAACTGAAAAATAGATATTTGATAAATGTGTAATGTCAAATATCAACTGATATTTGTATAAAAGCAGCTGAGTAGAAGAAAAATAAGACTTTTTAATAAATGTTGCTGGGCACCTCTAGGCCAAAAAAAAAAAAAAAAAAATCTTGACCTAAATCTCACATTTTATACAAAAATTAATTCCAAATGAACCCTAGACTTAAATATAAAATATGCAACTACAAAACTTTTAAGGGGGGGAGGACTACAAAAAAATATTGATCTAGAAGTAGGCAAAGAATCCTTAGACTTGACAGCAAAAGCACAATCCAAAAAAGGTAAAAATTAATAAATTGGACTTCATCAAAATTAAAACTTATACTTCACAAAAGACACTACTGAGAGACTAAAAAGACAAGCTAAATTGGGAGAAAATATTTGCAAACCACATTTTTACAAAAGAACTAGTATTTAGAATATATAAGAATTCTTAAGCCCTAGCTGGTTTGCTCAGTGGATAGAGCCTGTGGACGGAAGGATCCCACATTCTATTCCAGTCAAGGGCACATGCTTAGGTTGTGGGCTCGGTCCAACATGCAGGAGGCAGCCAATGACTGATTCCCTCTCATCATTGATGTTTCTACTTCTCTTTTCCTCTCCCTTCCTCTCTAAAATCAATTAAAAAAATTTCTTAAAACAAATAGCCAAAAAACAAACAAAAGTCAATTAGAAAATGAGAAAAGGACAAGAACAGATATTTCACTGAAGAGGAAGTACAAACTAGCAAATGAGAAAATGTTCAATTTCATATGCCACTAGGTAAATGTAAATTAAAACTAAAAAGAAATTTCTCTACAAACCCATAAGGATGGCTAAAATAAAAATAGTGATTCCAGCCTGGCCAATGTGGCTCAGTGGTTGAGCGTCAACCTATGAACCAATAGGTCATGGTTGCATCCCGTGAGGGCACATGCCCAGGTTGCAGGCTCAATCCCCAGTTTCGGGCAGCCAATCAAATGATTCTTTCTCATCACTGATGTTTCTCTCTCTCTCTCCCTCTTCTTTCCTCTCTCGGAAATCAATAAAAACATATATGCATTTTTAAATCACACAGAAAGAATAGTGGTTTCCAGGGACTTAGGGAGGAGAGCAACAGTGAGTTATTGTTTAATGGGTATAGCATTTCAGTTGCACAACACTATAAATGTACCTAATTACCACTGAAACTTACACTTAAAAATGATTTGATGATAAATTTTGTGTATTTTACCATAATAAAAATAATAGAAAAACAAATCAATGCTAAAGATGTTCATTTTCTCCAAATTAACCTATATATGTAATGCAACCCAACAAAAATATAAGATTTTATAAAGTTAAACAACTTGGTATAAAGTATTCAAACAGTATGGAAAAATAAACCTGTGAACATGAGAAATTCTAGAAAGGGATGTGGGGGTGAACTAACCCTACCAGACCCACTTAAATACAAGATTTTAAAAATCTAATAATGGCAAAATTATTCTAAATGCTGTTTGGAAAAATAAGCATGTCAGTGTACTGGGTAATTCTTGAAAGGGACATTGGAGCTGGAGAGTAGATTAGGCCTACCAAATGTTAATATATATTACCTACAATAAAGGGTGGCATAATAATAAAAATAATTTTATATTCAAGTCAAACAGGCATATGAATGTATCTGTGAATCTGTAAAAAAAAAATTTATTTAAAAGACATAGCCCTGAGAAACGTTTTTTTCTCTATAACCAGACTGTCACAAAGTGTATCAATGATATTACAACATCCCACTCCTGCATGGATGATGAATCATTAATGAAACAGTAGCAGCCTCAATTTCCAAATCAGTCAGATAAGGGTTTCTCAGACATAACATTCCACATTTATCTTAACTTTGTAGTCTCCAAGGCAACAGGACTCTGAATGGGCTTCTAAGCTTATGCCGGATGTTAATTAACTCCTTGACACACAGGCTCCCTGTGCTTTAAACCTATAAAATATTGATTCATTTAAATTGTATCTAAACCCCACTGTTCAAAACCCTATAATAGCCCTGTCGCTTCTTTATTTAGTGAAATGCTGGCAGTTCGTCTGGTATTTAGTCTCTTTCATAGCAAGTTAATTAACCTACCTTTGTA